CACTTCATTTACATCAAAATGGCCACCGTTCTGTGCCGATCAGCTGTTTGGCGGCACAGCAAAGCAGTCTGGACGCGCTGTGGTTGACAAGGGAAGCCTTTGTCGACTGCTCCAGTAAACCTCTTTTCACGAGGCATAACGGAGCGGTCGACAAGGGCTTCTCTTGCCGACCGTGGCATGTCCAGACTACCGTGCTGTGCCGCCAAACAGCTGATTGGCACAGCGTGGTGGCCATTTTGACATAAATGATTATTTAAATCGCCGCTTCATTTTCCTATGTCTAGTAAACTCATCTACATGGCTCCATCGACGGAGCCATGTAGTCTAGACATTAGTTAGCTGGGTGTCCACTTATCATGGATGTGGCCAAGTTTCCTGTGATCTCATAAAGTTTGTTTACAGCCATCAGTCCTGGCTCTCAGTGTTCTGTGCTGTTCTTTAGCTCTTATTTACCCCTAAATGTCTTCTAAGAGCCCAGTAAGCAATGAAAGTGCTAGTAATGCTGCTAGACAATATTGGCCTCCTGTGGTTTGGTAAATTCTCTGGTTCGGTGCCAGTCAGGTCCTGAGGGTGTTGGACTAGAGAGATTCAACCTGGACAACTTCATGGAAGTGGCTCCCAATGTTCCTTCTCATTTGTTTTCCATATGTGGAACACATGAGGGCCTGAACTCAGGTTTAAAAATCAATCTCTTGCACTCCCTTTTTCTCTTTCTCTTTCTATATCTTTACCTTACCATTCCAGTTACCATTTCACTCATGCATCGCTTTCCTTTCTGCCTCATCATTCATTCTATATTCCACACTCATTGACTCATTTACAGCGTGCCTCTCTATTCTTTCCCTTGTAAGTTTCCTTTCCCCTCCCATTCTTCATTTTTACTGTGTTCTGTTCTGTTTTTAATCTTTTGCTGTAGCAATCTAAGTACCTTTCAGCAGTGTATTACACAATGTTACTGGGATCTGTCATGTGTGAGTCTTCCTGCCCTTAGGAGAAAAGCTGCATGAGCAATTTAAAAAAATTAAGATAATCATTATTTTATTTATGCACTGGCTGTGTGTTTATACTGGTAGAGAAAAGGTTTAAAAATGCATCTTGCTCTTGCAATAGAAAAGGGTGAGGTTTGAGGCAGTTCCCTCTCCGTGTGAAAGAAGATATCACATTTCCCCGGCTTAGGAAAATTCAAGTCCCTCCCATAATCCTCTGCAAAGTATTACGTTGATCGCTATAGCGTTGATCCCCAGCGTAGCGGGGACAAGCCCTAAGATTTTTCTTGCATTAGTAAACCAGGGATGGGTAAGATTCTAAGTCACGTAAGCCACCCGAATTCTCATATTGAATTATGAGTCACTCATCAAAAAGTAATGACAATCTGAATTTTCTAATTTGCAGGTAAGATTCTAAGTCACGTAAGCCACCTGAATCCTCAGATTGAATTATGAGTCCCTCATCAAAAAGTAACACCAATCTGAATTTTCTAATTTGCGAGGATACAGAACCGAATATGCTGAAGACATTAATACAACTCCATTGAGAATTTCTGTGTTGCAGGAATGTATGAAAGAGTCTGCCGATTTATTGCCCGTGAAAGTGACTCAGTGGTTGTGTGTGTTGGGTAAGTGCTCTTATTTCAGATGCATTATGTGGGAACCATTTACAATGAGTCGGTGACCAGCAATATGTCTATGACACGCCCCCCTACAGCCGTCTGCTCTTTCAGAAAGTGGCTCAACACAAGCAACTTTTTGACTGATAGAGCTGCATTCTCTACTCTGCCCTCTTGTTGAGTTCTTCGGAGAAGACCAGCGATAAGTCTGTTCTAGAGCCTAGAAGGACAGAGCAAACACAGAAAACAGCCTTCAGATATTTTAACGAATAGCGTCATTTGTATAGATATTGGGTCAAATCCCAACCCCTCTAATGTCAGAGGAAGGGGACTGGACATACCTTACTCTCACTTGTCATGGCACAGCCAGCTCCGCCCTTAGGATGGCTGTGCATTAGGTACAGAATAATAGAATCATAGAAATGTAGGGCTAGAAGAGGCCTTGAAAAGTCACTCTGCCTGGAGGGTGGCCTAAGTTAACCAAGACCATCCCTGACAGATGTTTGGCCAATTTGTTCTTAGCTGCTCTAGCCCCGCTGCGCTACCGAAGGTGGCACCAGTTAAATCCCTCAGATACAACAGGCGGTGCTAGAGGACGGATGGGTGGGGGATCTCATGGGCCAGCAGGCAGGGCTGGAAGACACATGAGTGGGGTGGGGAATGTGTGGAGACACCTTCCTCCCCGCTCCCTAGAGCCCAGCCAGAGAGGGATGCCCTCTCGCCCACGAGGACAATTTGAAGACTGGCACTGGCCCTTAGTTGACACCAGGGGTCTCAACTCAATTTACCTAAGTCTACCTTGGTGCAAATTCCACCCATTATGTCTTGTCATACTTTCAGTGGACACAGAACAGTTGCTTGCCATCTTGTTTATAACAATCCCAAACACATCTGAAGACTTACCAGGTCCCCTTCCTAGTCTTATTCTCTCAGGTCTCAACTTGACTAGTTTTCTTAACCTGTCACCGGTTCCTATTTTCTACACCATTTATCGTTTTGGTTGCTTTTCTGTGGATTCTCTCCAATTTGTCAACATCTTTCCTCAGGTGTGGTGCCCAGAATTGGACTCACTACTCCAAGAGAGACCTCTCCAGGGCAGAGTAGTGCAGGACAATCACTTTCCTTATCTTACATACAACAGTCCAGAATGATGTTAGGCTTTTTCACAACTGCATCATGTTGTGGATTCTCATTCAATCTGTGAGCCACTATAACATCCAGCCTTTGTAGTGTTACCACCACCTAGCCAAATGCGCCCCATTTTGGAGATGTGCATTTGATATTTCCTTCTTCGGTGAAGTACTTTGCATGCATCATTAGTGATTTTCATCTTGTTGAATTCAGACCAATTCTTCAATTTGTCAAGGTCATTTTGAACTCTTTCTTCCAAAGTGCTTGCAACCCTGCCAAGCTTGATACTTCTGTAAATTTTATAAGCGCACTCTCCACTTTGTTACATAGAGTCATTCGTGATAATATTGACTGATGCTGGACCCCTCTAGATACTCCCTCCCAGTCTGACAGCGAGGCATGGATAGCTATTTTTTGAGTAGTCTTTCAACCAGTTGTGCACACAGCTTATAATAATTTAGTCTAGATCAAATTTCCATAGTGTATGAGAATATGCAATGGTGTCAAAAGCTTTTTTAAAATCAAGATATATCACATCTACCACATACCACATTCCCTGGCCAGTTCCCTGGTCAAAGAAGGAAATTAGAAGGGTTTGGCATGATTTGTCTTTGACAAATACATTCTGGCTATTCCCAAACTTTCTTTTTATTCCCTTCTAGGTGCTCACAAATTGTTTAGTCATTTGTTCCAGTATCGGTCCAGGTATTTGAAGTTAGTCTGACTGGTCTATAATTCATTAGGGACTCCTTGTCCCCCTTTTTAAAGCTAGGTACCATATTTGCTTTCTTCATTCCTCTGGGACCTCATTTGTCCTCCATGAGCTCTCAAAGATAACTCCTAGTGGTTCCAAGATTGTTTCAGGTTGTTCCTTTAGTACCCTAGGATGAATTTCATAAGCTCCTCCTTGCCAGCTTGGATTCTTCTAGGCTTCATAGCTGTATGACACTGTGATCTAGAAGAAGGGGAGCAATTCTGGCAAATGAGTCTTCAAGCCCCTCCCATAATCCTTTGCAAAGCATGCCATAGTATCTCTACAGAGAGTATAGCAGAATTAGGAGCAAGGGGAAAATATACAAGGGTCTGTTGACTGGAGGGAAGGGAGGCTTTTTGGAAACACTATGGAGTGTTTCTGGGTAGGGCTGATCAGAATTGCTGGGCTTTGCTACTCCTCTCCCCAGCCTCACGTTGGTGGGCCTGATCTCTGTTAAGAGCTGATACAAAGGGCTGTAAGAGGAAGCCATTTGCAGCACCCTGGAATAAATGTTCCTGGTCCTCCAGGAACTGTGCTACATATTCTGAAGAGCCATCTGCTGTCCCTTGCCTGTTAAACCGTTTATAGAAAGAACCTACTTTTAAAAAGCTCCCTGCTAGTTCCTCTAAATGCTAAAGTCAAAGCATACGACCCTGTTATGGATGACAGGGAGTTTCCTCATTCATTTCAAAACGTAATTTCCCTTGACTCAATAGACTATCTGACTAGCTTCCCTAGTTAACAAATGTTTTCAGTGTCCTGAGACCTTTGGTTAATTGAGAGTGAATCATAAGTTGCTAACAAAAAAGGCATATCCACGACAAATATATTTCTGTATATTTCAACCATCCATTTTAGTGGTGCTGTTAAAAAATTGCCAAAATTTTTTACAGTGCCTCCATGTGTGGTGCATTTGTGGATTAGTGTTTGTTTCCTGATATTGTATGTTTCTTTAAAGGAAACCATATCTACTTTTTTTAGGAGTAAAGATTTTGGGATAAAAATTTGTTTTCTTTGAATTATACTAAAAAAATATACTACAGGAAACCCTTGCCTTACGGCAGCCCGAGTTGCGATCCCCCCGCACTTACGACTATTTTTGTAAGTGCGGAAGGGGCCAAAACCCCCCGACTTTGGTCCTCAGCCCGTATTTACAATGGCGCATGGTGCCTATTGTAAATGCGGGTTCGAGTTACAACGCCCCCGACTTGCGACGTTTCCCTAGGAAACGATCGTGTCACAAGTCAGGGGCTGCCTGTACCTGGTACCTAAATTCCAGGCTATTAGAATTGAGCTAACTATCATGCAGAGTCCCAAACTCTCATTGGCTCCCTTTATAAATAAGTCCTGACACAAAATAACAGTAAATCTTTATCACTTCCAGTGTTTATTTTATAAATCTCTATTCTCACATACATACTTGGAAACCAGAAAGCAGACAGGCTAATGACTGGTACATACTCCATACCACAGAGAGTAGGATGACATGTTCACAATTGTCTAAAACATAATAAAAAAGGATGGGTAACTCCAGGAGCTATTTTACAAAGCAGATTTTTTTTTTAAAAAAAAAACCACACAATAACTATAATAATAATAATACACATATATTTAACTTTTAAAAGTTATTTGAAGTAGAAATTGACATCACTCGTAGCCCTGATGACATTAAAACATTGATATTTTAGGTATCGTTTGGCTCCTGAGCACCCATATCCGACCCAGTTCTGGGACTGTCTTGCTACTGCCAGACACTTTATGATGACAGCGGAAGACTATGGGGTGGATTCTGCCCGTATCATCATCTGTGGTGACAGCAGTGGAGGCACACTCACTGCAGCGGTGTGCCAGGCACTTGTGAGTAGAACAGACTTGCCAAAGCCACGAGCCCAAATCATGCTCTATCCATTTCTCCAAGCGTTGGACTTTAATTTGCCTTCTTATCAGCAAAATGGTTCAGTCCCTCTCTTGTTAAGGAATCGGGCCGTCGCTCTTGGTCTACAGTATCTCAACAAGGACTTGTCACTGATGAAAGGCATCCTAGAAGGTTCCCATGTGCCCAAGGATTTGAAACTGAAGTTTGGGAAATGGCTAAGTCCAGACAATATTCCTGTGGAATTTAAGACCAGAGGCTACAAACCACATGTCCCCTCTTCCTACTCAGAAGAACTTCACACGATGGCCAAACAAGCTTTCGAGACGACCTTTTCCCCACTTTTAGCAGAAGATGCCATTGTGTGCCAGCTCCCTGAGGCGTTCATCTTGACCTGTGAGTATGATGTGGTCAGGGATGATGGACTGTTGTACAAGAAAAGACTGGAGGACAATGGTGTTCCAGTGACCTGGTACCATGCAGAGAATGGATTCCACGGCATGCTATTTCTAATTGATTATGGAGTTGTTTCCTTTCCATGTGGAAAGAGAGCAATGGGCAGTGTGGTAAACTTTATAAAAGGCTTATAACCCCTCCCAATAAAAACAGTCCCCCTAGTCCTGTTCTTCAGAGCTGGGAGTCTTGAATTCCTTCCCCAAAGGGATGGCTCTGAGCAGCCACAGAAGTTTCAGGAAACTCTCAGATTTCAATTATTTTGTTGGTCAGCTCTGAATTCTTGCATTGGAACTGCCCCCTCATTTTTCCTCCTCCCACGGTTTGTCTGCTAGTGAAAAGCACAGTTAGAGGAGCTTAAGTATCCCCGTCTCCCCTGCTTCAGCTTTTTAGAATGGTTTGATCAGCTGGTCCATTGATCCATTGATCAGATGGTCTTCCAGGGAGCGATTAGTGCATCCAGGGGATGAGAGAAAACACTAGGGCTGGGAAAATAAACAGACAATGCAACTTGGGCTGAATCTGGAGGTAAAGGTGGGGGAGCAGGGTAAGTGAACCTGTGACTCGTGAGGGGTTGAATCTGGAGCTGGGAACGGAAAGGCCTAAATCTGATGGAGGCTGAATACAGGGCAAATGCTGTCGGGCACAGACAACGGAATACAAGGGCTGGATGCCAGAAAGAGAAGACTGTGGAAGGAAAAAGGAAGAAAAGAAGGGATCAAGTTGTGGAGAGCAGAGCAGCGCCGGTTATAAACAGAGCCTTGCAAATCTGCAGATATCTGCCTTACACCCGGTGGCTCACTTTGGCAAATCCAGATGCAGATCCAAATTTTGTGCCTGGTACTCTGCAAATCTGTGGACATCTGCTTTATATCTGCGAATAGCCAGAGCTCATTTTTGGGCATCTGGATGCAGATGCAAATTTTATATCTGTGCAGGGCCCTAGTTAGAAAGTCATAAAATACGAACAATATTCGATCAGGAGCTACATGCTGTTATGAGTCTCAAAGGTAAATGCAACAACCTTGTGCCAGGAGGTAGGAACCGGGGTTGCAGTGCTTCTTAAGAGCAATAATCACATTGTATGCTCCACAGAGATGTTGCATAAAGTAAAATTGTTTGATTCTAAACTTCTGTATTAAAAAGCCCTACGTTAGAGATGTTTACTCACTTTCAAAAACAGTATTTTTTTTAAATAAATGTTTATTTCCCATGAATGTGTTTGTTGATCAGCCACTCTAAAGAGGACTTGGCACTATGGATTCTAGGCCTGTGTTATCCAAAGCAGAAAGCAATTTCTGATGAAAGAATGGATCTGTGAACACTTGCACCATGCCAGGTAGAGAGAGACCTGGGACAAAGGAGTCGCCAACATTTAAATGGGCCTCAAATGGTCTATAACTAGGAGGTAATGATGGATAAACAAGAAGGTGTTATTTTTAGTAGGCGGAGGTGCCTGGTCACCAGGCACAAACAATAGAGCACATTGCGTCTACGTGTCCCCTTTGTTCTTTTGCAGGGGCCATGAAGGACATTCACCAGCTCACTGTGACGTCCATGTATTGGCTATCAAACCTAGATATACATTTGTATTTCTTGCTACCTACTCAAACTATAGGAAAGTCGAAGGCTAGATGGATGGAGCAAATATGGGGAGAGCTCTTGAAAAATCCAGAAATATCCCAAGATACACTAAGGCTACGTCTACATTGGCCCCTTCTCCAGAAGAGGCATGTTAATTTCAAACTTCAGAATAGGGAAATCCGCGGGGGATATTTAAATATCCCCCGCAGGATTTAAATAAACATGGCCGCCGCTTTTTTCCGGCTTGGGGAAAAGCTGGAAAAAAGCGTCTAGACTGGCCCGATCCTCTGGAATAAAGCCCTATTCCGGAGGATCTCTTATTCCATTGTAAGCTCAGGGCTCAGGGTCGGGGGTCTCAGTGGACCACCTTGATTTTCATGCACACCTCATAGACTCATAGACTCCAAGGTCAAAAGGGACCATTATGATCATCTAGTCTGACCCCCTGCACAGTGCAGGCCACAAAATCTCACCCACCCCTCCTAGAATAATCCTCTCACCTATATCTCAAATACTTTGAAGACCCCAAGATGCAGATAATCCTCCAGCTGTGATCTGTACCCCATGCTACAGAGGAAGGCGAAAAACCTCCAGGGCCTCTGCCAATCTACCCTGGAGGAAAATTCCTTCCCGACCCCAAATATGGCGATCAGCTAAACCCTGAGCA